GCATGCCACAATAGAAACCATACAAGGCTGAAGTGAGGAGGAGTACATAGTGCCACAACAGAGGTCATAGAGATCATTCATTCATTATAGTCACTGCCTCCAGACTTTAGCTTAGCAACAATGTCAATTTCAAGTGAGAACAACTTCACTATCAATGATGATGTTAATGGTCCTGTACTTGCTGCTGTGTTTGCCACTGAGATGATACTAGCTCTGATAGCTAATGGTGCTGTACTCCTTATTACAATCACTCAGAGGAATTCCTGGAAACAATCATCAACAATATTCTTCACTTCTCTCATACTGGCACATCTTGTACCGAATCTACTGTACCTTCCTTTCACTATCATTTCATTAGCTGCTGGTGAGTGGATCTTTGGTAGTACAGATGAGGAGAAAAGAGGTTTCTGTTCATTTATTGCCTATACACTGTGGTACAGTATTCCTGTAATCACCATAACACTAGCTGCTATATCATTTGATCGGTTTCTCTTTATTGTCAAGCCACATCTTCACAAGCGGTTCATGAGACCCTGGGTAGCACTGACCCTTACCCTTGCTATATGGATACTGTCCGCTGTAACGACTTTTACTCCATTCATTGAAGGATCTGGTGCTGTTTTTATGTATGAAGGAAGTCACGGTACATGTACAGTAGTAATACTGGAGCTTCACTTTGCCATATTTTCCTTTGTGGGATCATTACTAGTAGTGGGTATTATCACTGTCACCTCAGTGTGGACCTTCTGTTTTACTCGCAAATTCATACACAATCAGTCAGAGATAGCAGGAGACCATGTCTATGCATCTAAAAAAAAGAGACTGTTTGGAATATTTGGGGCTATGCTAATTGTGTATGGGTTGTGCTTTACCCCTGGTATCATCAACTATGTTGTGGTGCGAGCAATTGTTGTAGCAGATGAAATATATTTGGCTGTTGTTATCTCATTTATTTTTGTCACTGTACTAAGCCCCATTGTTCAGTCTTATTTCAGACCAGAAATTAAGACAAAAATCGTTTTTATAAGTAGGAAAATTTTACAAAAGCCTCCTCAGAGGGATAGTATCGATTATCTTGGGAATTCTAATAATGATTCATCTGGGAGCAAGACAGAAATAAACCAAATTAGAACCTCTACACAGTTAAAAATCAGTTCAGATCATGTGTTGAATACAGAACATTTATCAACAACCGTGGTATAAGGAAGATGCTTGAACTTAATTTATTAATCTTATTAAAAGTCTTTTATCCATGTAGGATGTAGCTAGTGAAACTTTATTAAATCACTATACTTTGTTTTATACAAAAAGGATAATCTAATTAAAATTTGTAGTAAAAGCCATAGTGATGCCAGATAAAGATTATGCAATGATACAGTGATGTAATGCACTTCATTAATGCCTCCATGTAGAACAGCCTTCTATTTATGGCAGCATGTTGCTTACAAGATCAAAGTAACCACATATGTTGCTCTAGCAACATGTTGCCTAGTGCATGTAGGCCTTAATGCTGTACTGTTTGGTCCAGCTGTTTGGGTACTTTATGTTTACCCTACCCACGAGGTCCACAATAATTGTTTTACTTTCATAAGGTCCTTTTGTTATTCAGTATATTCAATTGTGTCCTCATAATAAGGCTGTATTTTTTATTGAAGTTGATTTCTTTTAAATGTAGAGTTTTAGTCTAATAAATTCTATTTGATTATCAAATAACTTCAACTGGTAAGTTATGAGCCCAGTGCATCTACATGGCAGAAAATGATCAGTTGTCCCTCTGATCAGCAGCATGCAACTATGCTACATGGAAGGTTCAGTGTCAAATTGCCAAAGGCCTGTGGAATAATGTCAATGGCACTGAGAATGTACCTATGGGTGATGATGGTCAAATTACAAAATCCTACACCTGCATGGATGCACTCATCAGGATAGTATTGGCTATTTAGCTGTTGCTGCTTTATCTGATGGAAAATGTAATGATCCTTCATGGGACCACTATAAGCATCAACAATAGGCTTAAAACGACTC